GAGGAGTAGGCCGAGCTGTAAATGGGCCGAGCTGCACTGAGGAAATAAGCAGGCCGAGCCGTGACATCCAAATGGGCCGAGCCGTGCACAAGAGAAGATGGGCCGAGCCGCAGACAAGAAAAGATGGGCCGAGCCGAAGGATGCGAGCCTAGTGAAACCCTAGGCAAAAGCATTATGACGGTGGCCGCATGACAAGATAATGAAAGATTCCGAAAACCTCTCCCGAGATTCTCGGCTTGGCGATTTAGAGGATTATTATAAATAGACGATATATGTGATTCATTATGTAACTTTGGCAACCCTAAGCAATAAAGACTTAAACACTTTTCCAGCAAAAAACTTTCTTTTGATCTTACTGTTCTTGCGATAAACCCTAGAAATTTTGGATCCCTTAAGTTTTCCTTAACAAATTTTTGGTTGTGCGAGTTTTGACTCACACAATGCTATAAATTGAAAAAAATTAAAACAATCATTTAAGACATAAAAGATTAAAATAAAGTTAATTTAAAAAAGTAAACACGATCCAAAATGTATTATTCAAAACTACTATATAAATGTATAAAATCCACAAACTATTAAACTAAGATAAACATGAGTTTTTGTTTCTTATATTTTCCTCTTATTGTGTTTTTTTTTAATCATCTTTTTTTTTATTTTTTGTAATTATCTTCCATAATTTTCCTTGTTTTCCTTGTCTTATTATTTTTTTTTTTTTTGTTTTCTTCTTCCTGGTTTTCTAATTCAATTTCTTTCTTATTATTCAACAACTTTGTCTTCTTCTTCTTTGTTTTTACGATTTATTCTTCTTCTCTTTCTGATTTTTTTTTTCATCTTGCGTACTCTTCATACATTTTATGACTCTATATCTTTTGAGGCTGATGCTCACCGAAGACACACCATTGGGCAGGCATGCATTTCAGCCCTTTACTTACATAGAAATTTGAGTGTACAACTTTAGAAAACACATAGATTGACCACATTGGTTTAAGTATTCAGATGAAAACGTTTTGGAATCATCTTTAACAAAACCTCTCTTTTATGATGTAGTCATCGAATCATATCACAAGCCCTTTCTTGTAGTTAAAAAACAAATCATAACAAACTGTTTCTTGTGACAGAAGCTACCCTATGGTATACTAAAAGGTAATCTGTTTTACCTTTGGTTAAATAGTAAAGGAATTATACCGTTGGTTTTTAAAAAAAAATTTTAACTATACATCCCAAACTTAAAACTCTGTTCAAAGGTGTGTTATATTTTTTTGTAAGATAAGAAATCTGTATTTGACTTTCGTGGTTTGCTCCTTTCGAACAATCGAAACTGTTTCTAGACAATCAAGATTTAAAAGGAGCTTAAACATACCAAAGACGAAATTCTCATAATCTCTTAATTACTCTTATAGTTTAACAAAAGAATCAAAGAACTAAAGCAAAAAAACAAAATTAGACGTAAAATAGAGCCTCTCCAAAAGGGTTGTGAAATCTTCACGGTTCCAAGATTTGTAGATTTTTGTTATATTATTTGCCATCTATTTCTTCCATATCGTTGTGCTAGAATATTTATTTGTTATCTTATTAAATAATTAAAAAATGTAAAAAAAAACGAAATTAGATGAAATTGAATCCTTCCAACATACAAACTTAAGAAAACCTAGAGTTCTAACTACTCATCAAGTAATACTATAGTGTCGATTAAGGGACGCCAAATAAAAATCTCTAACTCTTGAGAGGGAATTTTATTTTACTCCATCTTTTTTAAATAATGCACATATTGTCAATAGATCAAGCTAGGATTCAAAAATCTAACTTTTCACTGTTTTTAAAAATTTAACAGGATCATTCATACGAATATCTCAAATGTTAATCTAACTGGGTCATTCATACGAAGATCCCAAATGTTTGTGTTCTCGACATTGATCTTCTTATTCTGGTTTTTCTTTGTTATGTACTTCTTCTGCTTTATCTTCTTCTTATTGCTCTTCTTTATATTTTTCTTTTTCTTTTTTCTCGTATTTTTTTTTTAATATTTTTCATCATTTTGGGTATCTTCTTTTTCATAATCTTTGTCTTCATCTACTTAATATTTTTCTGGGATTTATTCATCTCCTAATTGATCACATTTGTATTCCATGTACTCTTTGGTTTCTTACTCTTTAGGTTTTTCCTAGCATTTTTTTTATCTTCATCTTCTCATATTTTGTAATATTTACTTTTCTGATCTCCTTTCTCATCTTAAAAAAAAACCAAAGAACAGGATTAGATCGAACTCCATCAAATCGCTATGAAATCAGTTTTCAAACGCCACAATTTTCTGATTTATATGGTTCAGGTTTCTCCAATTCTCCTACTACTTTATTTGATGATGATTTAATATTGTATGAGCTTATTTAGTTGTGCTTACAGCTTTGATATCAATTACCTCCTCCTCCTGCGTGAGTATTTGTTTCTTTGCTCAAACTGTCAACTCACAAAATATGTCTCCCACTTTGAGAGGAAGTAAAAAAAACTTTACAAAGAGGAATATTTGAAAAGAAAAAATGATTTAACTATTTTTATTTTAACCAAAAAAAAAAGTACTTATCTAACACTCTAAGTAGAATAATTGCTCGACCAAAGTAATTGAAACACAATACTCCACTAAATGGTCTTCTACACAATTTAATGAATCTCAACATAACTTAAAATATCTAATTATTCATAAAATTTTGACTTTTGATTCAAATATTATTGGTATTTTGTACTTGGTGATCCCCACCATTCACTTTTCTACTCTATGTGAGATAAAAATTTATTCACCATGTTGTTCTTTAGTACTTGAGGTCTTTTTTTTCTACCATACATTTTGGTTACGTTGGGATATTTCCTGGTTCAAAATATCATACCAACAAAGACGATTAGATAACTGAGAGATTTCATCTCTACAGTTGCTTTGATCTCTGATTCCATTTCCAACTCTGCCACTGTTTTGATCAAGTCATTTTGTGACATCCCAATTTCCGGTATATGTGAAAAGGCTTATAAGAATTGATTTGGCTACCTATGTCATCAAAGTGCACTTATCTTTTCTGGGAGTAATCTCAGGATGGATGACCTACCGGGAAGTAGTCTGCGGTACTGTGCGAGGAAGGACAAAGCACAGGGAAAGATCACGTGGTGATTGCAGAGACAGTAGACAATTCTTACGAGCCTCCCGGACCAAGCAACTCTCGACCGTCAGACAGGGGTGGGCCCAATGGGCCTAGAGAGATGCCAACCGTCGACAGTGGTGGGCCAACGAACCTAAGAGAGAAGGCGTTGGGCTCACTGGTAGGGGCGGTTGGTGGGTCAATGGGCCTAGAGAGAGGACGTTGGGCCCCAGATTATACGGCGTTGGGCTCACTGGTAGAGGCGGTTGGGGGCGTTCAAAGTTGATAGCCAATCCAGATGAAAGGCGGATTCGGGGTCTCATGGATTTGATAGCCGATCCGTCTGGTTCCCGGTTAGGGAAGAAGGGAGCGGGGTCTCACAATTGGTATCAGAGCATCAGGTTAGCCAACCGGCTCTGACCCGGGTGGCGTCTTGGGACGTGGTTGAGAATTCGAGGACGAATTCTTTGGAAGTCGGGGAGAACTGTGACATCCCAATTTCTGGTATATGTGAAAAGACTTATAAGAATTGATTTGGCTACCTATGTCATCAAAGTGCACTTATCTTTTCTGGTCAAGTGTCTTGAGAGAACTCCAGAGTTAAGCATGCTGATGCTGGAGTAATCTCAAGATGGGTACCCTACCGGGAAGTAGTCTGCGGTACTGTAAGGGAGGACAAAGCACAGGGAAAGATCACGTGCTGATTGCAGAGACAGTAAAAAATTCTTACAAGCCTCCCGGACCAAGCGACTCTCGACCGTCGGACAGGAATGGGCCCAATGGGCCCAGAGAGATGCCAACCGTTGACAGTGGTGGGCCAACGGACCTAAGAGAGAAGGCGTTGGGCTCACTGGTAGGGGCAGATAGTGGGTCAATGGGCCTAGAGAGAGGACGTTGGGCCCTAGATTATACGGCGTTGGGCCCCCTGGTAGGGGCGGTTGGGGGCGTTCAAAGTTGATAACCAATCCAGATGAAAAGCGGATTCGGGGTCTCATGGATTTGATAGCCGGTCCGTCTGGTTCCCTGTTAGAGAAGAAGAGAGCGGGGTCTCACACATTTGCTAAGTAAGTCAGAGACAAACCTAGCGACCTTGAGTTAAAAATGTAAATGCATCATGATGTATTGGCTGCTTGTAAAATCAAGAGGAAGAAATACACCCACATTGGCCAATTGTTATCGGAGCTTACCCCAATAAACTTGTATTTTCTCTAGAGTCCAGAAAAACGGGTCTGTAATATAACTACAGAGACACCATACAAAATTTAAAGATGACAATATGTATAAACCATACTAACCAGAGAAAGTTCTAACTTCTCTCATGTTTCATGTATAATTAAAAATGTGTATTGTAACTTGAATTTTTAGGTTCTTGATTGTGAGTCATAGAATCTAGTTTCAAGGTTTACCAAACATGTAACAACATAAAACCAGACATCCAAATAATATTGTACGTCAGTGTCTGTCCAACTGAAACCATAAAGAATCTATGAGAGGAAGTTAACTGATTAGTTAAAAGTCAGAATTAGAAGATTATTGATATTTAAACATAAATTTTACATCTTTTGTGAAACTTAAGCAAGAGAAACTTTACTATGATCCAAAATCAACCTTTTACCTGTCTTTTTTTTTTTAATCCAATCAAGTAATCATCTAGATCTAATATCCAATATGGTTATCGGTTAAATACATCATTTCAACTTTTCGCTAACATCATTTCAAACGTGGCTATTCTCTAGCTAATTTTGGCGGCAATGTTGATCTTAAATAATATAATTAACAATTCAAGCTCAATTAGAAACACAAGAGATGAAAGCACTTCACACGACAAAGATTTCAGTCGGAGAAACGTGCAAAAGATCAAAGTACAAATAGTTACCTTATTCTTGTTCCTTTTTCACCTGTCTTTGCCCATAAATAAAATAAAGGAACCAAAACCAATATCCAAGAGAAACAAGATATCCGAAACTCAGTCTCTACTAACCACGTAAATATCCGAACACTGGGCATAAGAGACAAAAACATACAAAACGCATTCAAACAAAGTGATTTCGAAAAAAATAGTAATTTTGTTCATGTATAATCATTATTATCAATCGAACTAACCTTGAGAGTAAGAATATGCCGAGTGTGGTAACGTTTGTGCTGGAACTAAACTCCTTGTTAGCTTGTTTTCTTCTGTTCTCGGCAGCGGCGGGTGGGGTCTTGGATAAAACACGGACCGTCATGTCCTGCACCTCCTTCACCGAAGCTTCTTTTGGACTGTTATAAATTTAGGATAATAGGATTCATCAGATCAAGTAATAATCCACAATCAGATGATTAAACCGGTTTTTTTTGTACATGTTCATTAAAGTTCCATGTACCTTCCCAAAAGTTCAATCAGCTTGGCAACAAAATCTTCACAAGAACCAGGGTTCACGTTCCATTGCCATGAAGGATTTCGACACTGTATATCCTATAGACCCTTTTGAATCGTCACCAAGAGCCTACACCACAAAACAGAATACATGATCTTTTTGTAATCACTTTTTAAAACATAAAAAGGCTCATAACTGACTCCAAAGAACTGCAACGGCTCATGACCATAATCCAGATCTTCATAACCTAAGAGTTAGGGTAAATAAGAACGTTCTAAACAGGTGAATATTAAATAAACATATATATATATATATATATTTAAGATTTATGCAAATCGAGTAATTCATATATATTTTTAATTTAAAAAACAATATCTAAATATGTTGATAAAGATTTATGGAGTAACATAATTATTTTAAATAAATTTAAAGAGAGACAAAAAGTAATTAGCCACTTTGAAATTGAATGAGAGAGCTTAAAACTAAAATTTTATTTCGGATATACTATATATGATGTTTATACTCACGAATTTGCTTTTTTTTTTTTTTAGTTATTTAATAGTTTGTGTGGATGCTTTGTCCAATGTGGAAGATCCTTAATTAATCCATTCTTTATTTAATACTTGAACTAAAAATGTTTTACACTTGTATTTTGGCAAACGTTAAAACTTGAAACACTATATAAACCTACCTTATTTGAATATACAACATTTAGAGAACTACTAGAAATGTAATTTATATAATCATCTATATATATATTTTTTGTATAGTCATATAATTAATTACTTAACCAAAAACCTGTAGAAAAGTTAATATAAATATTTTTACCCATAATTTGCTCTATATATATTTCTTTTTGAGTCATTTACTACTTTGTGTCGTTGCTTTGTCCAATGTGGGAGATCATTAATTATGCATGCACTAATCAACTAATCCATTCTTTTTATTTAATACTTTGGCATACTTTTTTTTTTTTTGAACAACGTATATTGGCATACGTTAAAACTTTTAAACTCGACCTATATATCTTATTTGAATAAAATTTAGAAAACTTCGAAAAATGTAATGTATAATCTATTTTTTTTTGTATAGTCATATACTTACTTTACCAAAAAACTGTAGTAAAAGTTAATATAAATTTATGAGAATCCATAACAATAATTTAAAAAACTTTGTAAGAATCAGTAAATAGTTTGGCCAGATTCCATAAAAATCTTTACAAATTTTCGAAATCTGTTAAGCCAGAGAAAATAGGGACCAACAGAAGATTATTAATTAGTACGTATCGTAAACTACGCGGTGTCAAGAAACCTTATTAGTTGCAAAGAGATTTCTTATTTACATCATACAAAGGCTTTGCCTTATATACACGTCTCGAGTATTAGGTTAATCTACATCTAATATTACAATATTGTGTCAACCAAAACTCGCACAACCAAAAATTTGTTAAAGAAAACAAGAGAGATCTAAAATTTCTAAAGTTTATTGCAAAAACAGTAAGATCGAGAGAAAGTTTTTGCTGGAAAAGCTAAGTGTTTAAATCTTATTACTCTCGAATTGGTCAAAGTTACATAATGAATTGTTTCATCGATTATTTATACAGAATCTATAAACCGCCTAGCCAAGAATCTCGGAAGAGATTTTCGGAATATTTCCTTATCGCCTCGGGCGGCCGCCGCCGTAACATCTCGCTTAGGGTTTTGCATGGGCTTTATCCTCTGCGGCTAGGCCTGCTAGCCATCGAACTCAATCGGCTCGGCCCGCACGTCTTGCGATGCAGCTCACCCTCCATTTCCTTTTCAGCTCGGCCCACTTGCTCTTTCCCACGACTCGGCCCAACTCACACCTCAACAGGGCTCGGTCCACTTGATCTTTCTCGCGGCTCGTCCCAACTTTCACCTCAACAGGGCTCAGCCCACTTGCTCTTTCTCGCGGTTTGGCCCAACTTGCACCTCAACAGGGCTCGACCCATCAAAAAGGGAGCCCAGCTCGGATCAGACATAGCTAGACATAATATCTCAAACACTTAGTCTTTTTAGAGGTGGGTAAACTTGTTGAGGATGGAAACTGACCCCAACAGTTAGCCCCCCCCAGCTTGTTAGCTTTAAAGACGAAGATGACAAGGTCTGTTACAAGTTTAGCCATCGATCTGAGCCATTACAAAGCAGCTCGTGCTTAAGTGCTGCTGCGCCGCAAAGAAACAACAAAGTTCTCGAGGCTCACTGGTTTCATGTTTCTATTGTTGTTTTGTTTTGTTTTTTTTTTATATTGGTCGATGCGCTCTCATGAAGGACTGTGGTGTTTTGAATGAGTTAAGGGAGAGGCGTTTTACTTGACAATACTGAGCCGCTCTTGATGATGAGGTGCCCATAGTGCTGCGGTACGCAGATGCCTAGGCGACAAGGCAAGATATTGCCTAGACGATGAGGCAAGGTGATGTCTAGGCGACGAGCCGAGATAATTTCTAGGCGACGAGCCGACATAATGCCTAAGAAGCAAGGCAAGGTAATGCCTAAGCGACAAGGCAAGGTTATGCCTAAGCAACAAGGCGAGGTTATGCCTAGGCGACAAGCCGATGATGGTTACACGATGATAAAGGATGACGCCTAGACGACGAGCCGATATGATGGCTAGGCGACAAGGCAAGAGGATGCCTAGCCGATGAGCCGAGATGATGGCTAGGCGACAAGGCAAGAGGATGCCTAGCCGACGAGCCGAGTAGATTTCTAGGGGACAAGGCAAGAGGATGCCTAGCCGACGAACCGAGATGATGGCTAGGCGGCAAGGCAAGGGGATGCTTAGCCGACGAGCCGAGATGATGGCTAGGGGACAAGGCAAGAGGATTCCTAGCCAATGAGTTGAGATGATGGCTAGGCGACAAGGCAAGACGATGCCTAGGCGACGAGGCAGAGATGCCTAGGCAACAAGCCGATGATGGCTACGCGATGATACACGGATGACGCCTAGCCGATGAGCCGATATGATGGCTAGGCGACAAGGCAAGAGGATGCCTAGCCGATGAGTCGAGATGATGGCTAGGCAACAAGGCAAGAGGATGCCTAGCCGTAGAGCCGATGATGGCTAGTTGGGAATAAAATATGACGCCTAGCCGACGAGGCAAGATGATGCCTAGGCAACGAGCCGTGATAATGCCTAGGCGACAAGGCAGGTGATGCCTACGTGATGAGCCGATGATGGAGAGCATGCTAGTCGAGCCAAACTAGGGATGCCATTGCCTTCTCTCTTGGCTGAGCCGTTTCAAGCAACAACGACGAGGCATTTTCGTTTAGATGATGCCGAGCCGTGTTTAATGATAATGCTGAAGCGTTTTCGCTTAGATGACGCCGAGCCATGTGCGGTGATAACGATGAAGCAATTTTGTTTAACTGACGGCAAGCCGTGTTTAATGATAACGACGAGGCGTTTTCGCTTAGATGACACTGAGCTGTATGCAGTGATGACGACAAGGCATTTTCGCTTAGATGACGCCGAGGCGTGTGCAGTGATGACGACAAGGCATTTTCGCTTAGATGACGCCGAGCCGTGTGCAGTGATAACAACAAGGCATTTTCGTTTAATTGACGGTGAGCCATGTTTAATGATAACAACAAGGCGTTTTCACTTAGATGACGCCGAGTCATGAACAGTGATAACAATGAGGCATTTTCGCTTAGATGACGCCGAGCCGTGTGCAGTGATAACGACGAGGCGTTTTTGTTTTACTGACGGCGAACCATGTTAATGATAACGACAATGGCGAGGCGTTTTTGCTTAGACGAATAATGTTTAATGTTTAATGATAATGATGAGGCGTTTTCAATTAGATGATGCCAAGCCGTGTGCAGTGATAACGACGAGGAATTTTTGCTTAGATGATGCCCGAGCCGTGTGCAGTGATAACGACGAGGCGTTTTCATTTAATTGACGGGGAGCCGTGTTTAGTGATAACGACGAGGCGTCTTTGCTTAGATTATGCTGAGCCATGTTTAATGATAACGACGAGGCATCTTTGCTTAGATGACGCCAAGCCGTGTTGAATGATAACGATGAGGCATTTTTGCTTAGATGACGCGGAGCCATGTTTAATGATAACGACGAGGCGTTTCACTTAGATGACGCCGAGCCGTGTGCGGTGATAACGACGATGCGTTTTCCCTTAGATGACGCCGAGCCGTGTGCAGTGATAATGACAAGGCGTTTTAATTTAATTGTCGGTGAGCCGTGTTGAATGATAACGATGGGGCATCTTTGCTTAGATGACGCCAAGCCGTGTTTAATGATAACGACGAGGCGTCTTTGCTTAGATGGCGCCGAGCCGTGTTTAATAATAACGATGAGGCATTCACTTAGATGACGCCGAGCCATGTGCAATGATAACGACAAGGAGTTTTCGTTTAAGTGACGCCGAGCCGTTCTTAATAAAATCAACGAGGCATTTTTGTTTAGAACAATCCCGAGCCGTTTTACTTAACGACAGAGCGTTTTGTAGAGACGATTTTGGGAGGTTTGTCAAAAAGCATGGTCGTCTTGATAATCGTGTGAGAGAAATAAAGTCGAAGCGCTTACTAGGAGAGGTTTAACGCCGAAATATTATCTGAGACGTGTGTGTTGAACGCACCCTGCTACTGGTACGTCTCGCAAGGAGACTGTCACGGATTCCCCACGCCATATTTAAGTTTTCGCTGGTTTTCCAAGGTGTGCTTTTCTGTCATTTTTCCGATCAGGTGTGCTCACACAGTTTGAGCTTTGCAGCCAAAGTGTTTAACTTGGGCTGGTTTTTACTTGCCGAGGCGTAAGACCTAGGCTTCTCATTGTCGAGGTGAAAGTCCAAGAGGATATAGTGTTCTCTTTGGAGTATGACTATAGACCGGCGTTCCCGAGCTGGTGAGCGTGTTTAGCCGGGTTTTAAGAGTTCACTTTGGTTTTAGAGAAAAGCGATGTAGTCTCGACTTATAATCTCGTGTGCGATAGTGAACTGTGGTGACCGATACGTTTTTTGTCTGAAATTTGTATAGCACGCTTAATTTTTATCCATAGAGCATGTAACTTGCACCCTCGTCCTAGGAAAGGTGGTAAAATTCTGTTTAGAGAACTTTGTCTTTGTTGTCCCGTTGTGGCCCGCAACGAGA